TCCTAGTCTTCCCTTTCAACGTAGCAGAGCCCACAAGGTGGCGGTATCACACACGCTGGGAAACACTGGTTTAGCGGTATATCAACTCCTTATGGGTCATTTAATGTCGAAATTTAAATTTTCCTGGGAGCATAATTCCTTTTACAAAAATGTATCGCTGGTATTTTTATTATAAAAATATACTTTTATAATTTCATTGACTTTTGAGCACAGTTTAGAGGTTAACTATTTGCCTATTGCTCGGACCGTAACAGGTTTATTCATTTTTTAATTATTTCTTTGTTTAGCCGCATATCAACTTTTTGTGGGTCATTTAAAACCGAAATTAAATTTTCTTGGGAGAATTAGTAATTTATTTTACAAAAATGTATTGTTGGTAAATTTGTTTTGGCATTTTTTTTATTTTTTTATTTTTTTTTTTTTAGAAAAGACGTACTGCTGGCAATTCTTTTATTATAAAAATGTATTTTTTTTTTTTTTTTTATTTATTAAAGCAAGGCGTGAAGCCACTAGGATGCAGGGGGTTGCAGAAGATTTGGAGCGAGAGCAGATAGGAGTGATAGGAGAAAGGACGGAGAGAAGGATAGTGGGTAGATCAAGGTAACTGGAGGTGTCGATTGACATTACATTTGAATAGTTGGAGATTATAGCTCTCAGGGAAACAGTAATTGGGAAGGGTGTTCCACAGGCGAGAGGTGCGAGGTATGAAGCTATTGGAGTAGAAGAGACGGCTACATTTGAGAGTTTCTACGGTGTAAGGGTGGGAGCGGGATGCCAGCTTCGCAGGGCGCTTGAATTCATGGAGTCTGGGAACCAGTGAAAGCAGCTTGTCAGAGCAGTTACCATGGAAGTATTTGTAGAAAAGATTACTGGTATTTTTTAATATATACTTTCATGTTCCTTGACACTGAAACCAGTTTGAGGATCAACTATTCACCCATTCCTGTGACCCTAGCAGGCACTACCACCAAGAGTGGACCTGGGAACATGTTGTTGAGTAGTTTCACAGTGGAGGCTTGTATTTGTACTAAGTCGGTCCTAAAATAGGTTCGACGTACAAAACGTTAGGAACTTGATATAATAGGTATTGCGCAGAGTATTCTAGTTGTGGTCGTTGATACTTTAGTATTTGACTGTCGTCCGACATCGACTGACTGACCAACGATATTTTGTCACCCCCACCCACGAGGGCATCATGTGGCACAAGGCCGGTTTAACGTGGGCTCGGCCAAAAATATGCCCACTGAACCCGTATAAACGGGTTCAGGGTCAGTTTACCTCCCCGAAAGAGAATCCGCCCTTCGGCGTAGCCTCCTTCGGGTTCCTCAGCGCCCGAAGGCGGAAAGTTCAACCGATCAGCCAGTCGACTGACGGATCAACTCACTGAGTCACTGCTACTACTCCTACTTATTATAGGTGGGAGTGTCTACTAACAACAGAACAGCAGCAATTAAAAAGGTGGTTCCACGCTCTTCAAAACCTCCCGATCAGTGTCACAGCTGCCGGATGTAATTTATCGTCATACTCAGGACGATAGTGCGAGTCAATATAGTCATCGGCAAGAAGATAAAATTGAAATAGAATGGGCACGTCATAAAATCCAACAACTTTTCCGCTGTGGTTCTGCAAGGTATCGACCAAGGTAAAACACAAAGCAGCCAAAGGAGAATGGGTCCTTGTAGACTCAGCGATTGGACTGGAAGACACTAAGACAGTGGCAGGCAACCGACACATATGGAGGAAGTTGGTCAGGCGCTTGGCTGCACAGCAAGCCTTCAATCACACCCGGTTTAGAACAGATGATGATGAAGGATTGAATTCGCAACCTGAGCAACGCTCTCCAAGAAATGCATGCTAATTCTTACTTTACCATAAAAGCTTGCGTTTGTTTTTCTTTCAAAGATTTACATACCATTTTCTTTAAAGTAGAAAATCCGTTTTATTGACAACGTCTTTGTTCACTGAAAACGCCAACGAAACGATTTCAGATAAATTTGCGTGCGTGTGTATTTTTTATATTAAAATCATTAATGTCTGTTTGATAAGCCGGCGTCCTCCGGTCAAAAAGAAAGCAGAGAACTTTGATTTTTTTTTTATATCGTTTATTTGGGCATGGGGCCCTTTTTTGGATTGTATTTTTGATCAGAGAACGAGTTATAGCAGTGTATATAAAATGTAAAAGTCTAATTTAAGTTTAAAGACAAAAAATAAACAGCTACAGAGTCTGCTACAAATATATTGTATTTGGGGAAAATATATCATCATCATCATCTGCTTGCCAACACTCCAGCCAACCTTGCCAAAGATATGCATTAAACAGTACCTTTCCGGACATCCGTTCTCTACCGACCACTTTCATTTCTCCCTTTCATCACATCCGCTCTCTAGCGACCAAGTAACTGTCTCTTTCGGGACATCCGCTCTCTGGCGACCACGAAGCTGTCCTTTTCAGAACAGTTTCTTTAACAAAAATAAACTTGGCAATATTTAATTTTACTTGGTCTTCGTTGTGTTGTTATTTTTCATCATTTAATATCTGTTTGCAGGACAATATACCACCCGCAAGATTCTTCCTCCAAAATTCTTTGCTGACATTTTTTTCTCTTGGTAGCAAACACAGGGTCTACGAGATGCTAGTGGAAAATTTTCCACTTAAGAAACTCGTTCCGTTACTGACGAGTAGTAGACAACATTTCTAAACTCGTTCCGTTGCTGACGAGTAGTAGACAACATTTCTAAACTCGTTCCGTTGCTGACGAGTAGTCGACAACATTTCTAAACTCGTTCCGTTACTGACGAGTAGTCGACAACATTTCCAAACTCGTTCCGTTACTGACGAGTAGTCGACAACATTTCCAAACTCGTTCCGTTACTGACGAGTAGTAGACAACATTTCCAAACTCGTTCCGTTACTGACGAGTAGTAGACAACATTTCTAAACTCGTTCCGCTACTGACGAGTAGTAGACAACATTTCTAAACTCGTTCCGTTACTGACGAGTAGTCGGCAAAGTTTCATACACATACCATATATACTGTGCTACTTATTACTACAGGAAACCCCCCCCCAAAAAAAAAAACATTTCTCCTGACGAAACGACGTCGGATTTTACTTTCAGTAAGAAACAAAGACATGGTGACAGGGTTGTCTATTTTTCTAGATGAATTATTCTATTTACATTGTTCGAAATGTTGTCATCATCTTTATTGAAATATTCACGACGTTTCGGCCAATGTAATCTCCAGCCTTCTTCAGGTGATATACATTGGAATTTCGACTCGAACCCTTTATTTAGCCCACCGGGATAGATTACTTTTTCGGTAATAATCGGGCTCCTTGGAATTTTCAAATATTACGTTCCCACGATAGAATAAATGATTATTAAATATCAATGTAGCAGCTAGAGGGCGATACTTATTTCTTTTTTTAACTGGTCACGTGCTTAGGTGGGGAGTGACCCTACGACCACAACCTGTCATGGTACTCATGAGGTTATTTTTTTCTCTCGTCATTAAAACATTCTGTTCAAATTTGTGGAATATTCTTTATACTTTTATGATAGTAGTTTTGAATCTGATCGATTTATTTATTTTTATTTCACCTTTAAAGTTTGTATAAAATAATTTTTCATAAGATGACATCAATTTTTAGTTTTACTTAGGCATCTTCTAACAGGATATTATATAAGTTCCTCTTTCGGTTTACGGCCACAACTCGTTGAAACACCGTTCCTCGTACGCTCGCCGAAGTTATGTAACATCGAGCCTGTTAACTACCTTGATTGGAATCGCATGGGAATAACAAACGCTGTAAGTTGGGTGTGTAGGTGGTGTAATGCATAACTCGGAGACCCGAGTTCCGATCCCAGCTGGGTTGGTTATATTAACTTATGAGCAAATCCCCTTAGGAAAGGTGTGAAACCACGTTCTCTCCCCACCAGCTATGGATTAATTAGTAGAAAAAATATTATCGCAAAAAAAAAAAAAAAAAAAAAAAAAAAAAAAAAAATAAAAAAATAAATAAAATATAGCTTCAGACTTTTAAGTAATAAAGTTTGATAAGCTGGAAGAAATACCCTCCCCATTCCCTATCTTGTAGGACTGTTTTTTTTTTTCTTCAATCTTGTATTTTCATCCTAGTTTCCTGTCTCTACATGTCCTTTTTATCTTTTTTCTGCCTAACGTGCCTTCACATCTTTTTCAGTTGTAGCTCTATATAACGGCTCTTGTAGGAATGTTTTTTTATATTTACTCTTGCAAATACCCTTGGCATATATTAAAGAACGCCTTTTCTAAACATCCTTTTATCAGTTTTATTACATCAAAAAATATTTTTCTGGCCTTAAACATGCTGCAAATGTAGACAAACCGTAAAATAGATCAATACCTCGGATCGGAGAGCCCAGTTCCAATTCCAGTTGGGTTCGTTATATTCACTTACGCGCAAAAAACTTTGGGAATAATATGAATCCACTTTTTCGTGAATCAACTATAAATGAATTAGTACGATTTGTCTAAGTTATTACTACCCCCCCCAAAAAAAACAATCTAAAAATATTTTCTAGCTCTAATTAATTGCTTGTTTTTCTTTAGCGGCATATCAACCTGTATGGATAATTTAATGCCGAAATGTAAACATTTTTTGTACGCAATTTTTTTTTTTTTGAAGACAGTAATGGTTTACTGATACAAGTCTTACTAATTAACCCATGTTTGGAGGGAGAAGAGGTGGATTCATAACTTTCCCAAGGTTATTTGCGCGTAAGTGAATACAACAAACCTATCCTTGCTTCCTTTTCCCTGTCCTGAATGCGCTGTGCTTTTTTTTCTTCATCTTGCACGTTCTTCCTTCTTTATGTTCTCTATGTGTCCTTTTTATCTTTCTATTCTGCCTTGCGAGTCTTTACATGTCCTTTTTCAATTGTACTGAGCGCAGAGATCCAATTCCAGTCGGTTTCGTTATATTCACTTCTATAAGGCTTGCACAAATAAAATTATTATCTAACAAAAAGACAGACAGAAAAAGACAGAAACAACCAAAATGAGATGACAGAAAAAGACAGACAAAAAAAGAAAGAAACAAAAATGAGATGACAGAAAAAGACAGACAGAAAAAAAACAGAAACAACCAAAATGAGATGACAGAAAAAGACAGACAAAAATGACAGAAAAAGACAGACAGAAAAAGACAGAAACAACCAAAATGAGATGACAGAAAAAGACAGACAGAAAAAGACAGAAACAACCAAAATGAGATGACAGAAAAAGACAGACAGAAAAAGACAGAAACAACCAAAATGAGATGACAGAAAAAGACAGACAGAAAAAAGACAGAAACAAAAAATGAGATGACAGAAAAAGACAGACAAAAAAAAGACAGAAACAACCAAAATGAGATGACAAAAAAGACAGACAAAAAAAATGACAGAAACAAAAAATGAGATGACATACAAGACAAAAAAAGACAGAAACAACCAAAATGAGATGACAGAAAAAGACAGACAGAAAAAAAGAAAGAAAAAATGAATGAATGACAGAAAAAAAGACAGAAAGAAAAAAGATGACAAAACAACAGAAAAAGAGATGAAAAGAAAAAAAAAACAGACAGAAAAAGAAAAGACAGAAACAACCAAAATGAGAAAAACAGAAAAAAAACAGAAACAGAAAAGAAAAAAACAGAAAAAACCAAAAATAGATGACAGAAAAAGACAGACAGAAAAAGACAGAAACAACCAAAATGAGATGACAAAAAAGACAGACAAAAAAACAGAAACAACCAAAATGAAATGACAGAAAAGACAGACAAAAAACAGAAAAAGACAGACAAAAAAAAATGAGAACAAAATGAAACAGAAAAAAAGACAGAAAAAGACAGAAACAAAAAATGAGATGACAAAAAAGACAGACAGAAAAAAAACAGAAACAACCAAAAAATGAGATGACAGAAAAAGACAGACAGAAAAAACAAAACAACCAAAATGAGATGACAGAAAAAGACAGACAGAAAAAGACAGAAACAACCAAAATGAGATGACAGAAAAAAGACAGACAGAAAAAGACAGAAACAACCAAAAAATGAGATGACAGAAAAAGACAGAAAAAAAAAGACAACCAAATGAGAAAAAAAGACAGACAGAAAAGATGACATAAAAAAATGAGATGACAGAAAAAGACAGACAGAAAAGACAGAAACAACCAAAATGAGATGACAGAAAAAGACAGACAGAAAAAAACAGAAACAACCAAAAATGAGATGACAGAAAAAAGACAGAAAAAAAGACAGAAACAACCAAAAATGAGATGACAGAAAAAGACAGACAGAAAAAAGACAGAAACAACCAAAATGAGATGACAGAAAAAAACAGACAGAAAAAAGAAAAAACAACCAAAATGAGATGACAAAAAGACAGACAAAAAAAAAGACAGAAACAACCAAAATGAGATGACAGAAAAGACAGACACAAAAAAAAAACAACCAAAAGAACCAAAAAGACATGACAGAAAAAGACAGACAGAAAAAAGATGACAAAAAAAGACAACAAAAAAAGAGATGACAAAAAAAATGAGATGACAAAAAGACAGACAAAAAACCAAAAATGAGATGACAGAAAAAAGACAGACAGAAAAAGACAGAAACAACAAAATGAGATGACAGAAAAACAGACAGAAAAAAAGACAGAAACAACCAAAATGAGATGACAGAAAAGACAGACAGAAAAAAAAAACAACCAAAATGAGATGACAAAAAAGACAGAAAGAAAAACAACAACAACAAAATGAAATGACAAGAAAAAAGACAGACAGAAAAAAGACAGAAACAACAAAAATGAGATGACAGAAAAAGACAGACAGAAAAAGACACAGAAACAACCAAAATGAGATGACAGAAAAAACAGACAGAAAAAAGAAACAAAAAAAAAAAAGAGATGACAGAAAAAAACAGACAGAAAAAGACAGAAAACAACCAAAATGTAAGACAGACAGAAAAAAAGACAGAAACAACCAAAATGAGATGACAGAAAAAAAACAGACAAAAAAAAAGAAAAGAAAAAAAATGAGATGACAGAAAAAACAGACAGAAAAAGACAGAACAACCAAAATGAGATGACAGAAAAGACAGACAGAAAAAAAAAAAACAACAAAATGAGATGACGAAAAACAGACAGAAAAAGACAGAAACAACCAAAAATGAGATGACAGAAAAAGACAGACAGAAAAAAAGACAGAAACAACAAAATGAGATGACAGAAAAAGACAGACAAAAGACAGAAACAACCAAAATGAGATGACAGAAAAAACAGACAGAAAAAGACAGAAACAACCAAAATTTGACAGAAAAAAACAGACAGAAAAAAGACAGAAACAACCAAAATGAGATGACAGAAAAACAGACAGAAAAAGACAGAAACAACCAAAATGAGATGACAGAAAAAAACAGACAGAAAAAAAGAGAAACAACCAAAATGAGATGACAGAAAAAGACAGACAGAAAAGACAGAAACAACCAAAATGAGATGACAGAAAAAAGACAGACAAAAAAGACAGAAACAAACCAAAATGAGATGACAGAAAAAGACAGACAGAAAAGACAGAAACAACCAAAATGAGATGACAGAAAAAAAAAGAAAAAAAAAAAAAACAACCAAAATGAGATGACAGAAAAAGACAGACAGAAAAAGACAGAAACAACCAAAAAGATGACAGAAAAAGACAGACAAAAAAAGACAAAACAACCAAAATGAGATGACAGAAAAAACAGACAGAAAAAACAGAAACAACCAAAAAATGAGATGACAGAAAAAACAGACAGAAAAAAACAGAAACAACCAAAATGAGATGACAAAAAAGACAGACAGAAAAAGACAGAAACAACCAAAATGAGATGACAGAAAAAGACAGACAGAAAAAGACAGAAACAACCAAAATGAGATGACAGAAAAAGACAGACAGAAAAAGACAGAAACAACCAAAATGAGATGACAGAAAAAGACAGACAGAAAAAGACAGAAACAACCAAAATGAGATGACAGAAAAAGACAGACAGAAAAAGACAGAAACAACCAAAATGAGATGACAGAAAAAGACAGACAGAAAAAAAACAAAACAACCAAAATGAGATGACAGAAAAAGACAGACAGAAAAAAAAACAGAAACAACCAAAATGAGATGACAGAAAAAGACAGACAGAAAAAGACAGAAACAACCAAAATGAGATGACAGAAAAAAAACAGAAAAAAAAATGACAAAAGAACCAAAATGAGATGACAGAAAAAAGACAGACAGAAAAGAAAGAAACAACCAAAATGAGATGAAAGAAAAGACAGACAAAAAGACAGAAACAACCAAAATGATGACAGAAAAAAGACAGACAGAAAAAACAGAAAGAAACAACAAAATGAGATGACAGAAAAAAGACAGACAGAAAAAAAAGACAGAAACAACCAAAATGAGATGACAGAAAAGACAGACAGAAAAAAGACAGAAACAAACAAAATGAGATTCAAAGAAAAAAGACAGACAGAAAAGAGATGACAGAAAAGACAAACAAACAAAATGAGATGACAGAAAAAGACAGAAAAAAAAAAATGAGATGACAAAAAAACAGAAAAACCAAATGTTCTCTATGACAGAAAAAGACAGAAACAACCAAAATGAAAAGAAAAAACAGACAGAAAATGAGAGACAAAAAAAATACAAAAAAAGACATGACAAAAAAAAATTCTGACAGAAACAAAAAATGAGATGACAGAAAAAGACAGACAGAAAAAGACAGACAAAAAAAAAAGACAGACAAAAAAAGACAGACAGAAAAAGACAGACAGAAAAAGACAGACAAGAAAAAAGACAGACAAAAAAGACAGAAAAGAAGACAGAAAAAAAGACAACAGAAAAAAGACAGACAAAAAAGACAGACAGAAAAAGACAGACAGAAAAGACAGACAGAAAAAAAGACAGACAGAAAAACAGAAGACAAAAAAGAAGAAAAAGAAAGAAAAAAAAAGACAGACAGAAAAGACAGACAGAAAAAGACAGACAGAAAAAAAAAGACAGAAAAAAAAAGACAGACAGAAAAGACAGACAGAAAAGACAGACAGAAAAAGACAGACAGAAAAAAGACAGACAGAAAAAACAGACAGAAAAGACAGACAAAAAAGACAGACAGAAAAAGACAGACAAAAAAAAGACAGACAAAAAGACAACAGAAAAAAAAAGACAGAAAAGACAGACAGAAAAAAAAGACAGAAAAAACAGACAGAAAAAGACAGACAAAAAAAGACAGACCACAAAAAAAAACAGAAAAAGACAGAAAAAAACAGACAGAAAAAAAACAGACAGAAAAGACAGAAAAACAGACAGAAAAAAACGACAGACAGAAAAACGACAGACAGAAAAAAAAGACAGACAGAAAAAAGACAGACAGAAAAAGACAGACAAAAAAAAGACAGAAAAAGAAAGACAGAAAGACAGACAGAAAAAGACACAGAAAAACAGACAGAAAAAGACAGACAAAAAGACAGACAAAAAAAAGACAGAAAAGACAGAAAAAAGACAAAGACAAAACAGAAAAAGACAGACAGAAAAAGACAGAAAAAAAAAGACAGACAAAAAAGACAGACAGAAAAAGACAGACAGAAAAAGACAGACAGAAAACAGAAAAAAGACGAAAAAGACAGAAAAAGACAGACAGAAAAAGACAGACAGAAAAAGACAGACAGAAAAAACAGACAAGAAAAAGACAGACAGAAAAAAAACAGACAGAAAAAGACAGACAGAAAAAGACAGACAAGAAAAAGACAGACAGAAAAAAGACAGAAAAAAAAGACAGAAAGAAAAAGAAAAAAGACAGACAGAAAAAGACAGACAGAAAAAAGACAGACAGAAAAGACAGAAGAAAAGACAGACAAAAAGAAGAAAAAGAAAAAAAAGACAGACAGAAAAAAAGACAGAAAAGACAGACAAAAACAGACAAAAAAGACAGAAAAGACAGACAGAAAAAAAGACAGAAAAAAAAAGACAGACAAAAGAAAGACAAAAGACAGACAAAAAAGACAGACAGAAAAAAGACAGAAGACAGAAAAAAAGACAGACAGAAAAAGACAGACAGAAAAAGACAGACAGAAAAAAAAGACAGACAAAAAAACAGACAGAAAAAGACAGACAGAAAAAGACAGACAAAAAAGACAAAAAAAAGACAGACAGAAAAAAGACAGACAGAAAAAGACAGACAGAAAAAGACAGACAGAAAAAGACACAGACAAGAAAAGACAAAGAAAAGAAAGACAGAAAGAGAGAAAAAGACAGACAGAAAAAGACAGACAGAAAAAAGACAGACAGAAAAGACAGACAGACAGACAGAAAAAAACAGACAGAAAAAGACAGACAGAAAAAGACAGACAGAAAAAGACAGACAGAAAAAGACAGACAGAAAAAGACAGACAGAAAAAGACAGACAGAAAAAGACAGACAGAAAAAGACAGACAGAAAAAGACAGACAGAAAAAGACAGACAGAAAAAGACAGACAGAAAAACAGATAACGCAAACAGAAAAACAGATAAAACAAACAACACAAAAAGGGTCTAAAATCTAAAAATATTTTCTGACTTTAAATAACCATCATCGTTTGATAAGCCGTAAAAACAAATTAATAAATCCTTTCCTTTAGGCTTCTTTCATCTTGTATGTTCTTCCTACTTTCTTTTCTCTATACGTCTTCTTTTTTATCTTTCTTTTCTACCTTAGGTACCTTCACATGTTCTTTTCCATGTTTTATCTCTTTATAACGGCTTGGCTCTGGCCAGAAGACTGAGTCCAATCCCATTCGGGTTCGTTCTAGTCATTTGAACAAGGCTTGCAAAACAAAAAAATAAAGTCTAAATTTTTTTTCAGGCTTGAAATAATTTGCAGAGGCTGATAAGCCGTAAAAACAAATTAATCCTTCCTTTTATTGCGGGCTCTCTGTTGTCTTTCTTTCTTCCTTCACCTTATACGTCCTTTTTACTTTCCTTTTTTTATCTTTTTTACGTCGTCTTTTATCTTTCTTTTCTAGTTTATGTGTCTTCACATTCTTTTTTTAAGTTTTATCTCTTTAATTCTGTTCCAATTTGATACCTTTGAAATACTCCCGCCTTCCATACTTTGCTTTTAATACTGCCTTTGATTCGCCATTTTAGCCACGTCTTTCTTTCTCCATTCCTTCCATTTGTATCCCAGTCTTCTACTCTAGCTTCATCGCTTATCTCCATCTTTCCTTTTTAAATCCCGTCTGCCTCAGCATCTATACATAATTGTTCATTTCAAGATGCCTAATCCATTAAGCCGATTATTTATTTTCGGTTTCAGGAACATTTTTTATTTTTATTTTTGAAATAGCGTTATGAATAAAGCCATAATAACGACAGAAAATTCTAGACAAAGACCCACAAATATAAGAGATAAAAAAATGAACAAGTGCACCACCCCCAGAAAATGCCAAATGATAAAAATAACACGGTTTATCTTTTCCCTGAGATTTTTCTGGGCACATATCAGAATGAGTATTTGTCAATCATCCAAAAATATCAAAATCCTCGGAATTGTCAACGAAATAAAAGAAAGCAATTCCGCAACTGACCACAGTTGGCTGTGGAACAAGACATTGCAGAATCTTGAAATTATGGAAAAAAAAAAAAAAATTTCTCATTTGATTATCGCAAGGTTGGATCTCCTTACATTTCGCCTTTCGTTAATATAAAACATAAATCGTGAACTGAATGGACCTTCTATATTGATATAAAAGCAAGTTAATTTGCTGGAATTAAATTAATAATTAACATTATTAATAATTAATATTATTATTTAAATTTCAACATTAATTAAAACTGATTTTATTTGTACAATCAGATGTATGAATCTGTTAAGCTGAAAGCAAAATTTGCAATTTTACGTTGACAAGAGTCGTTAGGAATATTTGTGCAGTTTTAAGTTTTCGTAACATCAGTTCGATACAATTAGTGCGGTTAATGTCTACATTAAAAGATACACACTAACCAAAAACACATCAATCGAATATAATAACTTGCAGGCAATAATGTAATTTGTACCTCAAATTTTAGTCTCATTCACAATTAATTTCTAATTTGCATACTTTTTAATTAAAATATTGGTACATATGTGACGTCCCTGAACACAGCCTTCGCTCGCTTCTCGCTGCTTCGTTCGGGTGTCGCCGCTCCAAACGTGACGTCCACCTGTCGCGTCAGTCGTGTTGTCTCGTCCTGTGACGACCAACTGGCTTGGTATCGGTCGCGGCATCCAAATGTGACGTTCTAACCTTTTGGTGATTCGGATGGGAATCTGGTTAGATTCGATATCAGCCTCGCCATTCCCAATTCGCTTCCAACGCCTGGTTACCAAAGTAACTGCGTTGATCTCCAGTCCGCCTACCCACGTTGTGAATCGATCTTAGGCAGACGAAATCAATCAGTCGTTGGGGCCGCAATGCAAGTTGGGTCAAAGCGGGGTGGTATCGCACAAATACGTATAAAAGAAAATAAAATGATAACTCAAAAGTTCAAGGTATCAAAAAAAGGATAACAAACTTTATGTCTAGTTGTTGGATACATAGGACTGCGTCTATCTCCCGACCCGTTCTATGGATTGTGACACGTTGTTTTCCGTTAGGCGAGTTTTAACACTTCAAGTTGTTTGCTCTTTAAGAAATTGTTTTTTTTTTCGGTGTGTCTTCGGGCGAAAGTCGAAAAAAACTTATTTTGGTGGTCTGGATCTAAGTCGCTCTTCAAAATAATTGTTCTTGGATTGAAGATGAGTCCGGAAATTGCGCGAATCTTGGTCAGCCGATGCGAGGCTTACTTCAACTGAGCACTGGAGACTGACTCTGGGAACTGTCTCTCCCGAACTCAACCCTGGAACTCTCTGCGGGAACTGATTTTCGCTCGCTGCGACTTCGCTTATATGGACGCCGACCAACACCAGGGTGGGTTCGTCGGCGCCGGGGGGGTTCCTCGATAATTCTAAATACCTATCCACTTTTATTTTTGGTTAGGAATTTTCCACTTCTTTCCATTTTTGGGAGCCTTCTCTTACTCCCACCTTCTCACCATGCTTCAGGGGGGTGTCGGCTGTCCTCCCCACTTCCTCTAGGTGGGTGGCGACAGCTTCCTCCTTGCGTCACGTGATCACCACTCGGCCAATGATATCCAGCCGGCGTGTGCGATCCCGCGGCTTTGTTTCAGGGAAAAAAAATATCTCGCTTAAATTTATTTAGAGTAGTTTGCCGCGTGGTATTCTGTTCTTCATATATCGTAATTCCTCATGTATAATACGCTTTCATCCATAATACGCACACCTAAAATTGTGCTAAATGTGTGGGTAAATGATTCTACTCATGTATAATACGCATTAAAAATTTTCTAGAATTTAAAAGTGAAAAATTGCTAATTACTTTGTTTGCCAAGTATTACGTTTTCTAAGTATCATATTAGATGGCAAATAAGGCGCTCTTTCTTTTTAATAAATATCTTTTAAAATTACTCTGAGTCTTATATACCATATTTAGGGTTAAAATCCGTGATAGTTGGCCGAAATTAGCTACTAGGCAACTCCTATTAGCTTAGACTTTAGAGTAACTTTCATATACCTATTGTCATTATGTCAAAGGCTATTATGCAGATTAAATGTTATCATTGATAATATTCATTATATTAATTTCATCAAGTTTAATGTTAGTACTTGGTTTCACTAAAATTATATGCAATGAATTCAAATTAAATATTCGTAAAATATATTTGTTTCATTAATATATTTTGTGATAACTTTCGGTTCCATTGGTATAAATACAATCAGAACTTCTATATCCTAATTATTCCACTAAAACGTTTACAAGACGCAGGTTGAAGGGATCATATAAAGTAAAAAACTTTGAATTCTAATGGTAACTGTACTGCTTTGCTCAATTGTAATAACTGCTTGATTTTTATTTTGTTTCTTACCTTTGGATATAATAAAGTTTTTATAGGCTACATAGTATTTTCGGTAATATAGATAAGGTCATATGCCTACAATCATTTGCAAATATATTTGTGTTCGGTGACTTTAATGCTTACCATACCAGATGGATTAAATGGGCACCTCGATGTGGTGTAATGGTTAGCTAGCTTGTTCTCGCTAGAACAATTATGACTGAGTAGTGAGTTCGATCCTCACTGGGTGCTCCATACTTTCGGCCTTGTGCCACATCTAAGCAGCGCTTAGAAAATCACTACCAGATGGATTAAACACTGTCACTGACCTCACTGGCATCCGAACCCTTAACTTCTCAATCTCTCCCGCAAGCGGTGGACTTCCCCACGCATTTCCCCAGTAATCCTGACGGACACGTTTCTCGATCTCATTTTTTACCATTATCCCTGACTCTTGTACTACGCAACTCTGCCCTCTTGGCAGCTCTGATCATGCGGTTATATGTGTAAAGATCTTGCGCTTCCCAACCAGACAAGAACCGCCTACCAACAAAATATGTTTCTGTTATCAACAAGCAGATAGGAAATCACGAAATAAGTCCCAATGTAACGTCCCTTCGAATGAACGTTTTAATCATCCTGTTGAAAAAGGTCTCCTCCTGAGTCAAAGCCGGCATCGATGCTTTCATTCCAGCAAGGAAATACCAAGTTAAACCGCGTTCATCTCCTATATTCTCACCTGCATATGCGGCCGCTAGAGCCCACAGAGAGGCACGTCTGATTGCAGCAGATATCACTGTCACTGCTCGTAACGAGAGCAAGCGTGTCCTCAATGAAATGAAGTTACTGTTTGCTCATAGAATGAAACTACGTATAGCATCTCACAAGTTCAGTGCTAGAGGTTATTGGCGGCTCTACAAGAATGTCCTAAATAGCAGTAAGGCTCTCCTCTATTCAATCAATTCGAAGTTCTGACATCTACAGCAGATAAGGTTGAATGCTTTGCACCGAAATTTTCTTCCAACTCAACACTCGACACATTTGGAGCACACACAACCGATTTGTCTCCTAGAACCTAGTCTCTACCGAGTGATATGCGCTAACCCTTTCAGTGGTCTTGGATATGATTTCTAAATTAGAGTCTCATAAGGCAAATCAAGGTGACGGGGTCACAGCCGCCGTTCCAAAGAAATGTGCTCCCAAGCTGGCTCCAGTTCTCCCCAAACTCTACAACTATTGCCTCACCGTTTTCTGCTTTCCAGCTTGTTGAAAGTTCTCCTTTGTAATTCCTGTTTTTAAGAACTCTGGAGCAGCTTCTTACTCCTATAACTATCGCCTTATGAGTCTTAACGATTTTCAGCAAAATATTCGAGGCTTTAATCATTGATGAAATAGTTTAGCGCCTTATCTCTCATGATCTACTCCCTGACAGCAATGTGGCTTCCGTTTTTGCCAGTCCACCTCTGACGTGCTTATGGCCATCACTGAATAGGTATATCAAGTTCTTGATAATAACGGCGAAGCTCGAGCCGTGACTCTAGATATCTCAAAGGCGTTTGACAGGATTTGGCATGTTGATCTTCTACGTAAGCTTTCGTGATTACAGG